AAAAAAATCCATTCAAAGTACAAAAAAAGGTAACAATATGCCAACTGAATATGTAACTGGACCATGAACAGTGGAACAACAACCGTATAGTTTTTTTTCAAAGTAACATACTAGTCATAGGTGGGAAGAAAGTGAAAAAGAATACATAGATGATGAACATCTACTTATGCCAATTCCAGACATAAACAAAGAGACCAAACTCCCTAAAAGAATACATAGATGATGAACATCTACTTATGCCAATTCCAGACATAAACAAAGAGACCAAACTCCCTAAAGCTTATCTGGAATATAAAAAGAACAGAGACAATGGTTCGACTTTCAGTAAATGAATAAAAGCATACAAATGAAATGATAAGTGTTATACTACAGTTTTCGTAATCACGTATGAAGAATCCCTATCAAACATAGGCCAGTGGAGGACTAATGCTGAAGCTGATGGGAACCGAAATAGGCTGTCTCTATAAGAAGGCTTTCAAGAGAGTAACAGATACTAAAGTTCAAAAACACCTCACGGGGGCCAATTTTTGGTACTGTCTAATATTTTGTCAAGAATTTTTTGTGTCAAACTACATGATTTTCAAGCAAATGAAAATGAACTACGCAAAAATGAAGCTCGAAATCTGACCAACAATAAGCAGCGCTATAGAATTACCTCATGTTCAACACCATACCCTTACATATTATTGAAGCTTGAAGATAGTATTTTCCTTTGGGGAACTTAAATATGTATGACCATGAATCTGAAATATTAATTGCAGCACAAGAAAACCGGACGGGCACGCGTTTACACTAGATCATAGCAAAAGACATGATACCTAAGACCATCTCCAACGCAGCGGCATTTTGAGGCGAAAAGGGAAAATGCCGCTGCGTGGGAGCTCCAATCGAGCGGCATTTGTTGCCGCATTTTGACGGGGATGAACAGCGCGACGCTATATTTGGCGTCGCACTGTTCATCCCCCATTACTGTTTTTTTTTTATTTTTTTATTTTTCAATTTTTTTTAAACCTCATACTTTTATATATTTACAATTTGTCCCCAATTGTTTCATTAAATATATAAAACAACCCTAATAATATTTAAATTTTATAATTTCACCCCAATTGTATAATGTGGACAAAATAAATTATGGTTTTTTTAAATTAAAAAAATGCTAAAATTTAACAGACATTATTATTAATTATAATATTAAAATCTAGACATACATAATATAAAACTTCATTAAAGAGCAATCATAATACATAATTCAAATATAAATTACATATCTGAAATACATAACATATAAAAACTGACACACATAATATAAAACTTCATTAAAATAAAACATAAAATACAAACTAAACATGGTGACGTTACTTAAGATGGACAAGCAACTCTCAATAATCTGGTAGATCGGGGCCAGAGTGTCCAATATCATTAAAATAATTGCCAAAATTAGAAGCAGACCCTTGTTCTTGTTGATTTCTTTTTTGTATTATTTTAATCTGTTGAGCTCGAACGTACTCACGCACGTTTGGATCAGCAATGGAATTCAAATCTTTCATTATAATTTTCCATTCATCTCTATCTTTTTTCATGGCTATCTTTTCTCGTTCGATATCAAATGCTTCTTGCCTGTCCAAGCTCGCCTTGTCTAACCTGTCTATAAGTCGATTGTTGGAGGTCTCGATGGAGTCCACTACACTTGACTCATGATCATCATTTTTCCTTTTCAATTTAGCTTTTTTTACCCCAATAGGTCGTTCAGATGGAGTAAATGATGACAATCCAGGAGATGTTGATATAGGAGATTCCGGAGTGGGATTATCTGATTGTGACGAGTCGAAGTTCACACTTTGGGATTGTCTTCGACCAACTTGTCTTGCTGTGGGGACATCATCTTTGAATTTTTCGAAATTTTTAACCATATTCCAGACATGATCAAATTTGAAACCTTTTTTGTACTTCGGTTCTTGCATAAATAACATCTTTGCTCGAACTAACTGTAAATTATAGTGAACATCAAGTTATGTATTTCAACAATAATAATAAAATTCAAACGATAATTAATAGAATACTTACAATATCTTCATCTGAAGCACCACTTGGATTCAGATTCTCTACTTGTCTCAAGCACGCATTCAATTTCCTTACTTCATTACTTATAATTTCCATTCGAGAACGAATTGATCGGCTCGTACGCATCTCAAAATGCTGATCTCGAAGTTCATTGTATTTGTCCTCCACACGAGACCAAAATGCATCTCGAGACTGGTTTCTACCGATAATAGGGTCTTGAGAAATATCCAAGAATACTTGACAAAGGAGCACATCTTCAGTAACCGTGTACCCAGTTGATCGAACAGACATTTTTTTGTAAAAAGCGGTTGGTTTGGAGATCAGAAATACTTTGAAGAAATACTTCGAATTGGGTGGCTTGAAGTAGAAACCGTGAATGTTATTTATAGCCAATCCAAATTTGTTTTTTTTGTTTGAATTTGAATTTGAATTTGAATTTGAATTTGCGGTTGGTTTGAATTTGTCGGTGGTCAACATTTGAAATTGAATCATTTTGTACAAACTGATCAGCTTTACACATTATCCAACGTTGTCGGTGGGAATCAATTTTTGAAATCAGGTCAGCTTTACACATTGTCCAACGTATACAAAGCTCAGCTCTCCTTGAATTGTGTGAAAGCTTTGTACGAGTGGGAATCAATTTTTGAAATCAGGTCAGCTTTATACATTGTCTAACGTATACACAGCTCAGCTCTCCTTGAATTGTGTGAAAGCTTTGTACGAGTCGGAATCAATTTTTGAAATCAGATCAGCTTTACACATTGTCCAACGTATACACAGCTCAGCTCTCCTTGAATTGTGTGAAAGCTTTGTACGAGTGGGAATCAATTTTTAAAATCAGGTCAGCTTTACACATTGTCCAACGTATACACAGCTCAGCTCTCCTTGAATTGTGTGAAAGCTTTGTACGAGTGGGAATCAATTTTTGAAATCAGGTCAGCTTTACACATTATCCAACGTATACAGCTAAAAGCAAATTTGAATTTTGTGACAAATTGATAACAGCTGGAAAGCATTTCCTAAAATCAGCTCAACTTTACACATTGTTCAATGTATACAGCTAAGCAAAGTTTTATAAATAGCATACTAGATTAGGTACATCCACACAATTACTCATTGTTGTGTTAAAATTATTATTCTCCATTTCTGCATACTTCAGTCATTCTTTTCTTACTTCAAAAATGAATTTCGATGTTGGAGGTCCATCATACTTATCATCATCTTCATCTTCGGATGATGATAATTTTCTGTCCAATATCATTGCAGAGATTGATGAAACCGAAGAAGTAATTTGTGAGTACATCAACAACAACATGATCCTCGTTAACAATTTACGTCAACACAACTACCAACCGATCCATGGTGGCTCGATTCCCGGTCATGCAGTGATCAACCGCGATCGAGAAAATGCGCATCAGAATTTGGTCATAGATTACTTTGCCGATAATCCACGTTTTGGAGAAGATATGTTTCGTCGTCGATATCGGATGTCAAGAAGTTTGTTCCTTCGTATTGTTGATGCAGTGAAAGATCATGACTATTACTTCCAACAACGAAGTGATGGACTTGGTAGAATGGGATTATCACCGTTACAGAAAGTAACAGCTGTTTTTCGCATGTTGGCATACGGTCTACCAGCTGATGCTACGGACGAATACGTTAAAATAGGTGAGTCAACAGCAATTGAAAGTATGACAAAATTTTGTCGTGCTATGGTGGAAATATTCGCAGAGCGGTATCTACGAACACCTAACGCTAACGATATTGCTAGGCTACTCTATATTGGAAAAAAAACGTGGTTTTCCAGGAATGTTAGGAAGTCTTGATTGTATGCATTGGAAATGGAAAAATTGTCTTTTCAAAGTAAAATACTAGTCATAGGTGGGAAGAAAGTGAAAAAGAATACATAGATGATGAACATCTACTTATGCCAATTCCAGACATAAATAAAGAGACCAAACTCCCTAAAGCTTATCTGGAATATAAAAAGAACAGAGACAATGGTTCAACTTTCAGTAAATGAATAAAAGCATACAAATGAAATGATAAGTGTTATACTACAGTTTTCGTAATCACGTATGAAGAATCCCTATCAAACATAGGCCAGTGGAGGACTAATGCTGAAGCTGATGGGAACCAAAATAGGCTGCCTTGTATTTTATTTCCTGTTGTGTTCTTGAATGTAATATTTTGGCAATATCAATAATAAAAATATAATATTTTAGCAATCAAGTTATTTTAATTAATAAAATAATATTTTATTGTTTTATTAGTTTAATTTTTAAATAATAAATCATTTTGTTTGGAAAATATGTGAAAAAATAAAATTTGATATGTGGGGTTAATTGTTGAAATAGTTAAAAATATAGGGAATAAAAAATAATCATATAAAAGTAGATAAAAAGAAAGATACTGAGAATATTCCTTTTTGGTGCAAAAAATGGTGCAATGGGTTGGAGATGAATTACTGTTAGATGTGACTTTTGCACCATTTTGGTGCAAAATTTGCACCATTTTGAGGCAAAGGGTTGGAGATGCCCTAACTAAAATTTGCTCCGCTATGAGGCCAACTCCATATGGGTAACACGACGAAGAAAAGTCATAATAAAAAAGATCAAATCAAACGCAAAAAGTTTCATAACAACCACATTAATATATGTGAGCTGAGAAAAGAGTTCTTTCCCACTAAAATTTCAAGTAGAAGAAAAAAGAAAAAGCAGAGGATAGAAAAAGAGGAGATTTTCTTAATAAAGTCAAAACCACACTTGTCCGAATACAAATAAATTTCCGACAACTACGAACTCTTTCCAATGACCATCTTCTCCTGTCTAGTAAGAGATGAACATCTCCAATAATATGCTTAGGTTACACTATAACAACATGGAACATATAAATACCCTCAAAGTTACATACGAAAAGGTGGTCATCAACCAGATTAAATCAAAATTGAACCTTTCCGTCATCAACGTATAACCTAACCCCCAACCAACCAACCAACCAACCAGCAATTGAATCCCACGCGAATTTCCCACTGCTCTATTCTTCAACAAAAAAAAAATTAACAAGACGTTGAAGTGGGATCCACAAATCTCCATCCAAAATCATCAAAGAATAGAATAATCCCAGTTTCGGCTAATAAACATCTTAAATTTCCTCAGGTAAAGAAGAAGCCAAATTTAATGCTGAACTCAAAACTCTATTATGAACAAGAGGAGTAGAAAAGTAACCAGTGTCGGGATCCTCGACCAAACACAAACCAAAGAGATAAAAACAGCAGAATAAACAGATAAATCAATGTAATGAAGAAAGGCTCACCTCACCCCCCTGAGAGAGAGAGAGAGAGAGAGAGAGAGAGAGAGAGAGCGAGGGGGTGGAGACTTCAACAAAGACGACACCTTTCTCCCCTGTGCGCAGACTATTATATGTACGTAAGAAGAACAGAAGAAGGACATATCAATTTCTGGACGATTCTGCAGCAGGTGAGTTGGGGCGTGACAGGCTGGATAATTGGATATGCTCTGTCATCATCCGAACCCGACAAACGACGGGTCGGGTTCTGATGCTAATGGGTATGTATGGCCCCCGATTACCCGATAACCCAAATTCCATTCTATCGCCGAGCATGTTTTTTGTGTGGTGGACGATCATTAATTATTTGGGGCCGAGGATCCAGCCAGCGCCAGCAACGGAAGTAGGCGGCAGCAGCAGCAGCTAGGGATTTCTGAGGAGGGGGACGAGGAGGGAGGAACAGGGGCCGTTGGCGCTATCAAATCCCTGTTCGATCCGAACGAGGAAACCAAGTCAGGAAAGGTACTGCCCAAGGCCTACTTGAAGGCCGCGAGGGAAGTGGTGAAGACTCTCCGAGAGTCGCTGGAGGAAGACGGCAAGGATGTGGCCAAGTTTAGGAGGAGTGCTGATGCTGCCGAGGAGTCGATTAGAGCAGGGCCGGTCCTGAGCATTCGGGGGCCCTAGGCAAAAACTTGAACAAAAATCTTAAAGGGGCCCTCCTATATTCATAATTTCATATAGGGCAAATTTGCAAAATAGACCGTTTTTGGAAAATAATTAGCGAAATAGACCGTTTTTGGGAATAATTAGCAAAATAGACCGTTTTTTGGGAAAAGAGGTCGATTTTGAAAAAGGGTTCAGAAAACATACGGGACTACTAGTCCCGTATGTTTAATTTCATGATTAGTACACTCAGAAAATATACGGGACTACTAGTCCCGTATATTTTCTGTTTGCTAAAACTGCCAAGCAAATCCATCTTTGTTGGTTGGCGAGGACTTAACCCACTGCGTTTTTATCTTCTATTTTTTTCCAGAAATTTAGAGGATGGAGAGTGAAATAGTAATCAGGTACAGGATCGTGGGAGTTGGGATGATGGGCAGAGAGCACATGACCAACCTCTCCCACCTCCGCTCCCACGGCGCCGTCCTCACGTGCGTTGCGGACCCTCACCCCGCTTCCCAAACCCTGGCCCTCCAACTCTCGGAATCCCTCTCAGTCCCCAGTTCGCCTCCTCTTAAGGTGATCGAGCAGGCCGTGCCTTCTCAATTGAACTGCTGCCCATCACCTTGTTTTATTTATTTATTTATTTTTCTTCAGATTAAAGCTAGTTTATTATTTTTTTTTGGTTTCAAAAAGGTGTTTTCGCGGCATGCGGAGCTGCTGGACAGTGGGACGTGCGACGTGGTGGTGGTGTCGTCGCCCAACATGACCCATTTCCAGATCCTGATGGACATCATCGCTCACCCGAAGCTGCTTGGCAGTGGGTTAAGTCCTCGCCAGCCAACAAAGATGGATTTGCTTGGCAGTTTTAGCAAACAGAAAATATACGGGACTAGTAGTCCCGTATATTTTCTGAGTGCACTAATCATGAAATTAAACATACGGGACTAGTAGTCCCGTATGTTTTCTGAACCCTTTTTCAAAATCGACCTCTTTTCCCCAAAAACGGTCTATTTTGCTAATTATTCCCAAAAACGGTCTATTTCGCTAATTATTTTCCAAAAACGGTCTATTTTGCAAATTTGCCCTTTCATATATGTTATGCACAGATTCATACTTTGTTTATACAACTAATTCATGTATGTTAATAATGTTATGCACAGATTCTTGCTGTATAGAATCAATAACAAAGCAAAAGTATTATTAGGTCATGAAGTGATGAAACAAAGATATCATGCTATTCTAAGTATAGTCTGTTATCTGTATAGAATTATAGAAATATTCAATTATTCAAATATACTTATATACCTTGTAACCTTGACGGAGTCGCCGGCCAGAGGAGGCGCAGATGGCGGACTGCGGACGGTCCGGACGGAGTCGGGAAGAAGAAACGTCACTTCAGAGAGAGTCAGAGAAGAAGAAGAGAGGTCGGCGATCAGACGGCCACTTCGGAAATCGGAGAGACCAAGGGTTTTTCGTTTTTGTATTTATAGCCTCTAACACTTTTGCATAAAAATCCTCGAGGACAGCGGGCCGTATATAAGCCAAGAGGTCTTAACTAACCTGATCTTTAATTTCCTTCCTACATGCGATTATCTCACCCGACTTGCTTGCATTTTACATATGGGCACGTACGGTTCTCGTAGACTGAGAGGTTAGCTGCCTGTGGGTATGTGATATTTACAAGTAACGCAGAGTTAAAAACACTCTAGCTTCACACAAGGCACGCGTGCTAAGCGGGTGTTTGTATTGTCAATATCTCAGTTCCCTCAAATTCAAACACGCTTCAAATCAACTTCATGTAACTTTAAATACACCTTTAATTTTACAGGAGAATGAACATCATCATCATCATTCACACTAGCTCAAAAGTCTTTTACCATAAATGATAACATAATCCAAGCCAGCTCTCGTGTGTTCTAGACTAGCCAATTATGCAGATGTTTTACTGTTAGGACCACAAATTTTTCGTTGATCAAACTCGTAAAGCTGTGATCATACCAGGAGTATGATGAACCTATAATGTGCATTTTTTTATCATTAATATTAGCCGCTAGTTGCCCTTATTTCTCAGAAAATAGAGAGAATATACTTCGTTTCAATACACAGTTTGATTGAATTATGATCTCAAACATCTGTTTTGTCTTATCACTCACTCCAGGAATCATATGTTGCACTGGAGAAAGCAATCAGGTCCCTCGCGAGCTTCTATTCGAAAGCTGGCCCCTTTGCAGCGCTCTCAGAGGAAGTGAAAACGAGCGTTCTGGATGACTTGAACTCTGCGGAAGCATATCTATAGCTAAACGTGCATGACCCTCAGTTGTGTTCTGAATCTTATCGTCGTCGGTCTAGTAGTTGTTGGCCATTCGATCCTCTTGTTTCGGTTTAGTTTTTACCTCTTTCTTGATGGTTTGCCCCTTTGGTAGGTCGGTACTCATTTGTTTTCCCTCATACGAGGGTCATAAGCTGATTAATTAAACTATGTTGAGAACCTTGTGGCTGCATATTTGTTTGCATGTTGTCTTCTGACCATATATTTAACTGCTTAAACTAGCGAGTGCAAAGTGTATTACAGTGGCAAACTCTCTGATTATCGTGGAACCTATGGGACTCAAGGCTAATTACTTTTTTCGCATCTTTTCTTCAACAATGTTTTAAATTAAGCTATATGCAAGACAGTCACAAAATCTACATCACTACTATCATGTATCTCAAAGGTGTTCAGCTTGACAGCTTGTGAAGTTCATATCAAAGTCCATGTATTTTTTTCCATTTTAAA